CACCGCATCGGCGCTTCCAGGTGAAATGATTTGGGTCCCACGTTAGACAAGTTTATTTTCAAGAGTATTTTTGAATCCGGAAAACGTTGTATGCAGGCTGATCCCACAACAGAAAGAGTGGAAGAGGATGGAACGGATCGATTTCTATCTCACCCAATCGAGACTAATCTGATTCTATAAATAAGCCATGAAGGATCTGCTTCATGAGCTAATTTTATTCCCAGAAATTACATGATGGCATCAAATTAGTTCAGTCCGATACCGAACGAAATTATTTTAAAATATATTTGAAATATATTATGCGTTTTTATTTGTATGCTTATTTAGAACATACAGTATATTTGCCTCATGGTATGCTGGGTTTGACTCTCTTGAGGGATTATTGCAAAGATACATTATTCTTGGATAGGTTTTTTTAATTGATTCCCTCGTTGCTAAGGGAAGAAAACGGAATTTTAAATCCCCGTATTCAGAATTCCGTTTCTTCTCTTTCTCTCTCCTTGAGTATGCATTTCTTGAGGGGCCCTTGCCCATCGGTACTTTTATTCCCTTTCGAGGGTCCAGAATTGCCGTGGAGATATCTTATGAAAAGAGACATACAGGTTCTACTTATTCCAAGCACAACGCCCTGCATCATGAATAATACAATGGAGTGAAAAGCATAATTCAAAGGGTTTTCCTTTCCTCAAACCCTCTCCTCCATAGGAGACTCTAACTTTAGGCCTAGGTTTAAGCCGTGGACAGTCTTCAGGTCAGACCAGATCTTTTTTCCAGACAGGCTTTTCTTCCCTCAATGAATCTTGACCTTCGACTTAGTCATTAGACAATTATGTGCCACAAGGGTGAATCTCGGGGTCATCGAGAAATCTATGAGGAAGTGTAACGTTAGGCCTATCGGGAGTTACCCTTACCATCTCGACGAAGTCTGAGGAGAAAATGCCTCCGAAATCCAAATGCGTACTGGACGCAATCCTGTCAACTCAGGGATGCCCGTGCACGATAGCTCCATATCCCACCTCCGTCTCGATTTCGATTCACCCTGTGAAATCAGCAAAAAAATGTATCATACATTAAGAAACAGAGGATCTAGACAGCGATACAAAGAGGGAAGCGGTCAAGAATCCGACATGACTCCAGCAAGATGCCCGGCGACCCTGGGAACGGGACATGAGCCCGCACGCCACACCTAAATGAACGAAAGCTAATTCATTTTTCATTGGAAATTGATGCATCGCAAACAAAAGGGGAATTTGCGTGATAAACGAGTCAATATACAATGTAGTTGTTTTTGTCAGAATACTTTCTCCAAAAACAACCAGGAGGGGCTACCTAACAGGAGAGGGGGGAATCCAAAATGAAATTGACACCTTGAAGCGAGATTCTGTTTTACACAACCACGGAGAATTGAAGCTTCAAACTTGCTGGAACGATTCTGTGTTCCGAGGGTAAGAATCATGTCCAACTTCGTTCCTCCAGATTCTTTATGTGAGGAGTTGAAGGAGATTGAACTTCGTGACGAGAGGTGGTCAAAGAAAGGGAATAGGCACTAACAAAGCCTACTGATTACATATAGTCTTGCACATTAATGTAAATACACCACTAGGTTCCACCGACACCCTGGAAGAGTAATCAACTATATCCCTTGTAGAGTGAAACGCAGATGAGGAAGATCCAACTGATGTCCATGATTCTGGCCGCAATCATGATCCTCTGCGGTCTGGGGAAAGGCGTCGACGGATCAGCCTGTCAAACCAAAGGCGTTCAAGACTGCATCAAGTTTTGCCACCGGCAGAACACGTGTGGCTTCAATCGGTGCGAACTCGTCCCGGGATCGCCGGGAAAAAGAATCTGTGTCTGCCGAAAATGTAGGTGAAAGTGTGCAATGCATTGGTCGACCGAGAAAATCCCAACCATTCCACAGGATTATGACGCATGGATAAAAAAAAAGTTTATCATTCACTTATATGGTTTTATTGCAATCGCCTTCAAGCATATATTCAAGGTATACGAAGGGAAGGTCCACCAATATATCACTAATGGCTTATTTTTCCTTGATTCAGTTAATCCCACTATGCGCTAACTTTCTTAATCGATGATCCAATTTCAATGCGACTCAATTTCGATGAAAAACCGGAATGCAACCTTTTGTATTCACGTGCAAAGTATCTTATCCCCATTTCTCATGGAAGCTACGAAAGTTTGACAACCCATACGACGACCCAGCGAACTCCAAGGTCCCTCGCTTGCTAATTAGGCTTTCATTCGGACTGCCAAATAGCTCATCTGTGGCAAGGGAATGCGTCAAATGGTAGAGAGTAATGACTCCTATGGACTCCAACTTTCGGACCAGAATATATGATAGTCTGCGTAAAAGCATCTCTGCGTCAATGTTGAAAAAATAGCATCTCTCAAAATATGTATATTCAAGATTGATAGCATTATTCAAGGTATATATCCTGGTGGAATAATATTCCAGTGATTACGCTCTACTGATGCGCAGTATGCCATAACTGGGAAAATATGTGGAAAGTGGAAACACTCCTGAAGACGTAAACGGGATTCATTTAGAGAGTGAATGTTTCAATCAGTCAAAAAGCCAATAAAAGTTTGTTTTTCTGGAGTTTTCGTACCGCCCAAACCATATGGCAATTATATGCCACAGTTTTTGAATATTCTGTATCGAATGTTACGTTATAATGGCTCATAAAATAATTAAAATTAGAAACTGGCTCATGGTCAGTCTAAATGAACGCATTTACTGAAGGAAACATGTGACAAAATTTGCTTCTAATGCCGGCCAAAGGTGATCCCCATCTCGACTTAGAGAATTTGAGCTCCCACTTCCCAAATGCGTTTCAACGAGCCGTCGAATGGCATGCATGCACAACATTCCATTACATGGTGAAAATGGCACCACTTTCGCTATCTGACCCTTTTATTGCCTGACCGCTCTGTTCCTCGGTACGACACACGGAGCTTCCTCGGCGACGACCATGTGAATTCCTTGAGCCAAATGCTCCAGAAGCCAAGCTGGGTTCTCAGACAATTCACCCCATTCCCAGCCAGGCACACAGCAGTCTCCCTTTT